TTTGTATCACCAACAAGGAAGGTGATGAAAAGATTCAGAGACATTTTTATACTATATTCCTCATTGTTTCTAGAATGCAATCCATAGTCTTCAAGCTGGAAGTAGCTTTTTAGTTCACTCATTATTTTTTCATTTAATTAATTGTTACTATTTGCCAAACACTGTGATCATGTGTCTGGGCTCCTTCATGAGGAAACTGTGGTCATAAAGTTGGTTAGAGATAGGGCCAGAAACAAACCCCAGATGTTCTGTATCCAGGACACTTTACCCCACAGGGCTGTTAAATATCTCCATGTAGTTATATTCAGGTGATGAAATAGGAGAACATCTGTGTACTGCATGTGACCTGCATGTAATTCATGTAATAAAGATGAAATACAAACCCTTTGCCAGCCATTTCTTTATTACTCTAAATGCCACAACTTAAGGTTCAGCATCAGGGCTAATAATATAAGGATTAGTCTGGAAATTCTGCAAATAAATATTTTCCTGTCTATTCATACTCTTTGATTCAAATATTTCAATCATGTCCTTTCTCAAATGTTGCCTTTACAGATTAAAATCCTATAAATAGCACTGACCCCTGAGGAACACGATCTTCTTACCCCTATCTTTGAGTATTAATCTAGACAGTTTCCTATTGATATACCCCAAAATAAATACCCCAATCTCATGGTGGCTTTCTTTTTAAAGGATTTGTTTTGGGGGGGTAGGGGGACATACAGCACATAGTTCATAACAATGTGAAATTGCATTTCTGGAAGTATCTATACTCTTCCTTTACACAATTAAATCTCCCTACTTGCTAAATATTGCTGGACTTGGTGGTTAAGGAGGTTGAGCACATGTGAGCAAAGGGGAACAGCTGTTCTTGACAGATGCCTTCTTCACTGCACAGACATAAATACTGCCCAAGGAGCCTCTGCAAGGCAGACTGAGATCTAGTTTGAAGTTGCTGCAAGGAGACCCTTTCTGACATTTTTGCTTGGTAAATTCATTCATATGCACCTTGACCAGAGGATACTGAGCTGAGTGACTAGGACGAGAATTCTGAATGCAAACTACTCAGGTTCAAATCCTGACTCTGCCATCTACCTTACCAGCTTTTTGACACTGGGCAAGTTACTTAATCTCACTGTCTTCAGCCTCCTCATCTGTAAGTAGGGATAATAGTAGTTTCTTCATAGGATCTTTGAGGATGATATGAATTAGATATTATCATTAATAATTCCAGCAACAAATACCTATTAAGCTCCTATTCCATTCCAATTACTGTGAATGAGAGAAATTGTCCCCCACTTCATGGAATTTAGAGTATTTTTTTCACATTAGAAGCCCTGACCCATCTAAGGGTTGGGAAGTCAATGCAGTAAGGTGTGACCAGATTTAGTTTTACATGAATTCGATATGATTTTACAAAGTAAGAGTTTTATGAAACTTTCCTTCCCTTGCATATACTTTTATATGAATGTGTGGCCTGTGTCTTGATATAAAATGTATTTCCTATCATGAGTCTAGTAGAGAAGATTAGCAATTAAACAGCAACCTCAATATGCAGTGAGTGTCATGGGCACATGCGAATGTCACCTGACCCAGTAAGGGCAGGTGTAGAGAATCAGGCAAGCTTTCCCTGAGGAAGTAACATTTAAGCTGAGACTTGAAGGATGAGTAAAAATTTACCAAAAGAAGTGGGGTGGAGGAGGAGAAATAGTTCCTTTAAGAGCAGTGAGTAGACCCGGGTGGGTAGGGGAGTAGTTAATGAAGCAAGGGAGAAACTTGTTCAGATTTGCATTTTAGTAAGGCTACTCTGGCTGCATGAAGAGAATGGGCAGGAATCAGTTGGGAAACTATTTAGTAATTTCAGGACACAGCAGCCCATAGGGTGGGGGCAGTGGGTATTTGAGAGGGACCTTGTACTTAGGTAGATTGACAGGACTTGTTGATTGATGGGGAAAGGTGCTGGAGCCAGAGCATGAAGGTGCTTATCCCACACCTCTGATGTCTAATTTACAAAGGTTTCAGGAGACAAATCTAAGTCTGAAAGCTCCAAGCCCCTAACTTGAAAAAATGTTCCTGTAAACAGGAAGACAGAATCTTTCAATCACTTTGCAAATCATCTCCCTATCCTGCTGGACATATCTGCAGGCTGTTGCTGGGCCTAGGAGTTGGCAGAGCTTCCTGTTCCAAAGTGGGAGGGTTCCTGGCAGGAGATGGAAGGCTGGAAACAGAAAGGAAACTGGGCTAGCCAGGCACCTTGCGTGAAGAGAAAAGAAGGAAAACCTGATACTTTCCCATCTGATCCAGAAATATCTGGTCGGAAAATAATTTAAAAGTACAGGTAATTCAAAGATGTTTATATTTGGCTTTGAAATGCCATGCATTTTTGGCAGTAGACTTTCTTTGCCAAACATTTTTCTTAGGCCTTATTTTGCATTCCCTGAACATGGACCATCTGGGCAACAGGGGGATGAGCCCAGAGCTCAGAGGGAGTCTGGGTGGGTGGCTGAGGAGGTCCTAATGTTCAAAACCTGGAATGAAACCGCAGCTCTCTCTCATCACCCCAGGTGATGATCACACCCCAGGTGATCAGTACTTATCTGTCTATCTGTGTCCTGCCACAAAGCAGGGAGCTTTTTGTGATCTAAGCCATGCCAGGTCATAGGGTGAACTGAAAAACAGCTATCTAATTCCCAGCACATCAAATGTTTCCTACTCACATCTTCCTACTCACAGGGCCACCTCCACCCGCTGGAGTGGCAGGCAGGGCTCCAGAGCAATCTCAAAATCAAACCATATTTGGAGCACAAGACAGGCTGTTTACAGATGTTACCATAAAAGACAATTTAAATAATCATCAGTACCGTTTTACAAAAGAACTGGCCAGACCAGAAGGCCCCTTTTCCAGTTATTCCTAAGATTGCTGCTTCCAGAGGAGTTGAAAGGTTAGATGATCTTCCCTGGGTCAGGTCTACCTAGGACAGGAGAGTCGTGCCTCACAGAAATCACTTCAAAAAGGGTCTCAGCACCACATTCCACTAGGGCTTAGAAGAATCCTCAGGGTGGCAGCCACTCCCTACTTAGGAATCCCATGCATTCCCCTGTTCTTCCATCTGGACTGTGCCACGCCAGGGAAGTCATTTGGTCCAGGCTAGAATTCACTGGGAATAATTAGCAACAGGCCCAAATCTGGAAGTTCAGAGAAATTGGTTCTCTCCAATTTGTTATAAAATTAAGTAATATTTTTCACAATCACCACAGAGAAAACAGCATTTCCTAGTTTCCCAGTTCTTACAGGTCAGAATGGTTGGTTCACAGGAAATTCTTAGTAGGTGCTCTGTGACGCATCTATGTTTTTCCAAGTGTTGGTATTTTTCATTTCACAGAACCTTCTTCCAAAGGAGATTAGCTGCCAGACTCAGGCAGCCCGTACATTTTTGAAAACGCCAGCATAGGTTTCTTTGACTCAGGTACCTGAAATATCTAAGGAAGCAAAGGCAGCGGATGTGCCAGGGGCACCCTCACTTGATATCTACCTCTTCCCCTCCTTTAAGGTCCCCTTGATTGGAGGTGGCGGAAAGAGTCTCTGGTGGCTTGCCCAACCCTTTAGAACATTTGCCCCCACCCGCTTCCTCCGTCTCCTTGGCAGACAGGAGTCCTTTCTCGCACTTACCCTCCATTCCCCATACACACACCTCGCTGAGGTCATCCTCAGCGTGCAGCCCGGAGGGGAAAGGAAACGTGAGCTAAAGCAACAGGTTCCACCCACAGCCTGAACTTGGAAGGGGATGCGGCGGCGGCAGGGCGGCTGGAGCTGTGCAGTGGAGGGAGAGGAAGCGGCGAGGAGGAAGGTGGAAGGGAAATGATGGTGCATGACCACCGAGCACACGTCACTCGGGCTCCCACATGGGCTTGTGTATATGCGTGTGTGAGGGAAGGGAGGTCCTTCACAGGGTCACTCGGGCATTTCCGCGTGGAATAGGAGGTGCCAGGCTCGTGTTCTGGGGTGCTGGGTGGCCTCGGCGGGGTAACGAGTCACGCAGAGACGGCTTGAGGCACGCCAAGAAAATACGGGTGTCGGCGAAAAAATACACCACTTTCCCCAGCGCGCCGCCCTTGCTAACTGGCTAGATCTGCGCCCCTAACGCCCAGTGCCCCCTTCTTTTGGGCCTATCCTGGGCCCCTCCAATCCCATCCCAGCCTGCCTCCCGCTCCCGCCGCTGCCGCGGAAACCCGGACTGCGGACTGCG